CATAAAGCGGGTCAGAAAAAGTTTTATGTCTTCGTATCGCACTGCAATTACAACAGTGTTGTAACTCAAAATACGTGAAATTCAAGATCGTTGACCGTAAAATTTAATTATCTACAACGTCAATAAAAATATCGGTCGTTGTATAATATTGTATATAATATATAATAATGTAATGTAATATTGTAAGAAACATTTCAAAGATATCTACTTTAAATGCGACAAACAGTCCTTACTCAAAAATATGACTTTATTTTTTCCATTTTATTTTTAAATGTACTTGGCAAGTAGGAAATTGTTTAGATGTCTGTAATAAACTTTAAGCAATATGTTTAGGCAATTTTAATAATCTTTCACGGGAAGTGAGCAATTCAGTTTTCATCGATTTAAAAAAAAATACACTTTTTGAATTAATACACTATTAGTATTAACTGTGCTATATGTAATAAGAACGAAAAAGACGTCGTGCGTTTCGTGTCCAACGAAAATGATTTTTTTTTTCGCTCTTACTGTATGTATATAAAGCTTTTTCTGACCAGCTCAAGCCGATTTCGCTTAATAAATAAAATATGATGACTCCCTAACGGGTAGTATGATCGAGATAAATGTTTTAGGTTTTTCACTGAAGATCAATTGAATTTCAAAAATGTGTGCTACGAGTATGTTTTATATTTACCATCGGAATAGCATTTCCTTTGGAAAGATAATTGCTATGATAACATTCTACTTGTAAAATTTATTTGATAAAATTATCTAATCCTATGGGATTATAAAATTATCTGTGCCAATGGGATTATTAAATTGTCTGGCCGTTATAACCAATTTGTTTCCATATTAATCCAACTGGTTTTGATGAAATTGAAAACTCCGCTCAAAGTCCGCTTGCCGACTCAGAAACGATTTAAAAAAATACGACGACTGAAACCTATTCCGAAAACTGATTTCCATAACTGCTTCGGGATGTGGAAGCATCGGCAGGGGCGTGTTGTTCAGTCGAATAGATATTACTTTGAAGGATGCTACGAGTGGTATTACGATTAATAGACCCAGCTTGGAATAACGGACAATGGTCGGATACTTTTGGGCTCGTATATCATTTCGGTAAGTGTTGTGGCGTACGTTTTTCGCTATTTTATTTTAAAATATTCTCAAATATAAATATAGCACAATCAATAATTAAGTTACTTTATTATTGATTGTGCGATATGTTGTATAAAAGTAAAGGGTATAAGATCACACAGTAAAAAACTAGCTACACCTCGAGATGAAGTTGTTATTTTAGACATTACAAAAGCGTTAAAAATTGCAGTGATCTCATAACAAAAAAAAACAAATGTAAACAAACTCTGTGACATTTTATAACAATGTGACATGTACAATGTCCACAAATGATTTAATTGACGCAAATGACGTGTATTGTATGTTTGTGGAATATCAATGTGATCGATTTATTGTTGGTGTGAAAAAGGATACTGTCTTCGGGGGGCTTGCTTTCCGCTGAATCCATGCCTGGCAGTGCGGCCGCTACCCGCCGGAATAACTGAAATGTTGTTAAAAAGATACGTTAAAAACATTTATCATTGCTATTTCTGCTAATAAATTTAATTATAACATGTTATAATAATCCACGTCAGTGGTATAATCGTTGCCTAGGAAATACCTTCCAGAGCTACGAACTTAACTAAAAACATTTTTTTGTGATATCAAGTGACGATGACGGGACGAACAAGTCGTGCACCTGGTGATAAGCGATACGCCTGTCCATAGCAGTTGCAGAGCCACTAAGAGCTTTAAATCGGAATTTGAGGTGCACCCTTCGCAACCAAAACGCAGTTATGCTCACATTACCGCTTGGCGGCAGGAAACTTCTGCTAATAATAATAATAATAACGCAGACGTTCAACATAGCCCCGCACTAGGGAAAACCCTGTGTCGCGGGTGCCATGGAGACACACACATAGACAACCACAAATTACACACAAACTCACGAGAGAAATAAATTAGACCATACAAATATCCCTCCCGGCCCGGAAATTGAACCTGGGACCTCTGCGTGGCAGTCGGGCATGGTAACCATTCGGCCACAGAAGCAGTTAAATAAATGTTTTTACTCATTAGAAAAATATTTTAGTAATTAATTTTTCTATATCATATGATTACAGATTAATAATTAGATTAAAGAATTACATTAGATTAAAACTTCGATGTCTTTGTCTCCAGGCACTGCTACGTTCTTCAGGGTCAGGGTCTTCCTTAATAATTCTATGTACGTCAAATATATGATGTACATAGAATTATTAAGGATACCTGCATGCGAGTTTATTTATTTATTTGTCACATTAACACAAACAGTTACATACTAAATAAATAACAAACATTAAACAAGCAAGATTAAATAAATATGAACCAGTAACGTGTACCACAAATGTGTGACATTTAATGAAGTCACCACACTTATTCACGCAGAATTGTATTAAGCCGGTCAGAAAAAGTTTTATGTCGGTAAACGAAAGAGCGAAAAAGTTGTTGTGCGTTTCGCATCGGTTCGTACGAACGCGGCTCGCAACACAGGTCGAAAACGACTTCGCTTCCTGCGCATTTCCGATCGCGTCCGTAGGCATGCCGACAAAGGTTGATCCTTGTTGAGAAACAACTAGCGCGACAGCGCGCGAACGGCCGCGTCAACGGTGAATCGGCTTAATGCGACAAGTGTGGTTATGGACGATCGTATCAAAACGATTCCGCGTTAATAAGTTTGGTGACTCCCTAAGGCATTCTATAACTCGCGTGATACATGCGCGTAGACTTGTGGAATTATATGTATTTCAAAATTTCATTATTTTTCAAAGTTGTAATAAATAAATAAATTACTTGGGGACAATATAACGAACATCAAATTAGTTTCTTTTCCAAATGGGTCTCGGTCAAGATCGAATCCGGAACCTCCTCCTCTAGCGCTTACAGTAGATTATGGGACAGAAGCAGAGTTTTATTCTAAAATGAAACTTTAAGTACCAAAGTTGGAGATCAAATAAAATACTTTTACGAAAGGCTATTTTCCTTTTCCTTTGTATGTTTAATAACGTCTTTGCTTTAAATGAAAACTTTGACCTCATTCGTCCTTCATCCCCATTTTCGGTGGACACCGTTACCAGAAATATTATGTCCCTTAAGGCTGCATGTGCGAAATCGATATGTACAACTGCATAAAGTCGCCACCGAATGCACTGCCTTCAATCAATTAACTGTAACTGCCTCCGTGGCCGAACCGAACTGACTAACCTGTTTAACATTGTATCCAGCCTTAGCGCTGGTTTCAATGAACATAACATTGAGCTCCTTCGCCTTCCGGTCCCCATCTTCAGTAGACACCTGTCTCTTATCCGAAAGATCAGTTTTGTTTCCCACCAGCATGATGATGACGTCAGAGCCACGCTCCGTGCGCACATCGTCGATCCATTTCGATGTCTGATGGAATGAGTTCGCGTCTGAAAGAGATAGAAAGTTATATAGCTTCAATAATTTAACGTTTAAGAGAACGTAGGTATAATTTCCTTTGGGACAGACGCGTATCCAAATATAGGATCAATTTCTTATACGTCGTATACATCTTCGAGCTGAAAAACAATTTACATGATGGTTGGAGACTCTATAGATAGTAGGAATGTATTATTATACTAGGCTTGTGTATTGATGGCGTGTTAAGTGTTTTGCGTTTGTGATCACCCTAACGGAGTTCAGACACAGCGCGTTCAAGTTAGTGATTCTTTTATTATAAAAAAGTATCCAGGATTATGTCCTGTTTATGGAGATATGATGCTGACCCATAAAATGCAGTGAACTTGAAAAACAGCTGAGTTTACGTTTAGCGCAAAGCATTTCTTTCCGCTCGCTTGCCTCGAGACTGAGTCACTGAATTAACGATCATTTTTGTTACTTCATTACTTTCGTTAGACTTCGCGGTGTTGTAGGTACGCGGTTTTAATCTGGACCCTATTGACCCGTATGTAGGTCAATAAACGGTGTTATAATATGTATCCAAAGATAGATATTTAAAAACGTAAGCCGATATAGAAGAGTAGTAGGACGCAGCAGGGCTGTCAGTCTCGCTGCATTTCCGCGTTACGGGGAAAAAGTCAAACTCGGTGCGATCTCGAAAACACCGAAAAACAGGAGACTTTAGTTGATTTCCTACTTATCCTCCTAAAACCCAGCGCTAAGCGCCCAATGTACATTAAAATGTACTAAATATGGAACATAAGCAAAGACTTGTGTAAGATGTAAAAATAAATGTCAACCCTAAAAAAGCCCCGCCATGTTTTACGTACAAGAACGAAGACGGATAAAGTAAAAAAGTTAAGCCTTGAATTGGATTTTGGTTACATTACCAAAAAGTTACTCAATGAAAAACCGGTGTTTCTGACTTGTATTAAAATGTATTTATTGTCTTTTCATAGTATACAAATAATCAGCATCCATATTATATTTTCCGGAGTCGATTGTACACATGTTATTATTGCATTGTCATACCTCGATTGTACATTTCTGAATTAACAATATTTTTTGGATTTTATTACTTTAAGTAAACGTTGTTGTATAACACAATTTTATATTTACGTCATAGTGACCCCAAAAATGCGGTATAATTCTCAATCGAGAAAATCTGCGCACTTTTTTACATTATAAATGGAGTAATTAATGGATGTAACATAAACACAATTATAGTCAAAATATGAACATTCAACCCCTCATCATCATCAGCCTATGGCAGTTTTCTCCTGGCTTAGGCCTCTCCCAACGTGCCTCAGCTTATCGCATCCATGCACCATGTACATCATCCATGATCGTTGCTCCATCTAGCTAATGGACGCCCCACATTCGTTTGCCAAGTCGTAGTCTCCACTCAAGAATTCGTCTCCCCCATCGGTTGATTCTTCGACAGATACGACCAGCTCAAGAAGTGGGGGCACTTCATTGCTTATTCTACCAGGTATGTCGACGACCTTCATTCTCTGTCGGTTAGTCTCATTTCGAAGCTTAACCTTCAAAGAAACTCCGAGCATAGCTCGTTTCATAGCTCGCTGGTGACTTTGGGCTGGTGGACTAACCACATGTCATAACGGGTAAAACGCACTGACTGAAAACCTTGGATTTCAAACTTTGTGGCATCAATACCACAAAGTGTCCAACACCTAATGTTTCTAAAAATAGATAAAAAATTATAATATGGCATAACAATTAATAACCTTCCACGAAGAAACATTTTGTGGTTACCACTAGGACATAGTAGCTATTTATAAACCAACATTTTAGATATTTCCCTGATAATCGAATTCCGCACATGTGCATAGCTTACCAAGGTTGATTATTATTCGCGAGTCGAAAATAATTGGTTCTATTACAATAAACGTTCAATAACCAGTTAAGAGAGTTCGTCGTACTCTTAATTTGGGCTTTTGATGTTCTATGTACACAATACTGGTCGACAAACAGAACATAGATAATGTATCGAATGATTTTTGATATACACGTTTTTAATTTTGTTTTCATGAAGGCCTATAACACTCGGGTGGCAATTCAGCCTTGTAATGTCAGTCATTGTGGATTGTTCTATCTGTGAGAGACGTTCCCGTGGGAAAGTGGCGTCTCGTTATTTCTAACGTTAAACATATAATATACACTTCAGTGTACAGTAATAATATGTTACATTAAGTACTTGTAAATCTGTCATAGATTTCTCATAGATGGCGCTACGACTAAAAAGTCGTTGAAAGACCAAGTACAAAGACAGAAAGAATAGAGCAAGAAGAGAAATTCGTGAGGTCCGTTGGTTCGTTCCGTGGCTTAGTTGGTATAGCGTCTGACACGGTATGCAAGAAGACGTCGGTTCGAATCCGACCGGATCGAAGGAATTTTTTCTGAGTGTTCGATCTTTGTATTAATAATTATAAAAAATTATTATAATTATTTATAAATTATTAGACAGGTACCAAAATTTATCAACTTGAATAATTTTCGTTACATAATCTGTTGGCTTGATAAATATCGGAGCTACAGAGCACGTCGCTTCACTAAAATTAAAAAATAAAAAAGTCCAGAACAGAAGTATTTAAATATTTTTGTCTATGATTGTATGTCAATAATTACTGAACTTCGGAGGCACGCAATATGTCAAAAGTCAAATAAATGGAGCCCTCAAATTATATTTTTGTAATGTCATTAAAATATATATATAACCGTCATTGTGAATAAAAACCGCCGAAGTATTTTAATAACCGGCAATCTATCTCACTACCGCTACACATGTCTCTCAACCCTGACATTGGCAAAATCGTCGCGCAAAACGACGGAGCCATAGACACAAAAGTTGAAGTTAAAGTAGATGGAGTACAGTGTACTAATTTCACAAAAAAAACATCCTAGTGAAACATCCTGACATTCAATAAATTTAATTACAAAAGAAAAGATGTCAAATGGGTCTACGATGCAGTTATGAAACACATAACATTCTAGCAACTTACCAAAAATTAACAAAACCCACACACCTGAGCAAATACGACAGAATGAAAAGAAACGTAATATAATAATTACACGTTGAAACTTATAACTTCTACTGTGCAAAGAACCGTATTCACTGTGCGTTTGACTGTACCAAATTAATAAAGCAATTACAGCACCGCTGCTTAAGTTACATGATGCCTGAAGCTGAAAGTGTGCCAGATGGTTAATGACCTCTTCTAACCTTAAATCTGAAGGTAACAGGCTTCTTTGTCTTCGAGCAGTATATTTAACGTATATTGCTGGAATAAATCTTTATTCCGAATGTTGGGAATAATTTCGACCACGTTTAGAAAACTTGGTACTTGTATATTTGTGTCAGAAAAAGGCTGCTTGATTGTACCCTGGACGAGTGATGGAGACTTGAAGACCGGATCGTAGTCTCAATAATAAAGTAACGATATTCGAAAGAAATATATTTTTGTAAATAACGTACGAAATAAAAGTACATTACATTATATTACTGATGTATCCCACTGCTGGGCAAAGACCTAGGTCTAGGAAATAAAAGTAATGTTTATAAATAGAATTTGGTCATATTTGGCACAGCGAAATGGCATATTTGGCTGGTGCAATGACAATATTTTGAAATGTATGTTAATTTAGCTTACGTATGAACGTTTTCTTAGTATGGACATACTCATTACGTCATCAACGCGTAAAAAATTTCTTTTTTTTAATGTTTATTTTCTAAACATTCCAAATATAGGTTGTCCCATGTTTATTTTTTAAAT